GTAGGGATTTAAGCGTTAAGAATCTTGTGTATTTAAGTTCCGAACAAGCGCTCGCTGATATAGCCTACTTTATCGAAGGAATGCACTTAGCTTATCAAATACCTCATAGTGCTAAATGGATTGTATTCGGTGGTTCGTATTCCGGTTCTTTGGCAGCCTGGATGCGCGCCAAGTATCCTCACCTGGTTCACGGGGCTGTGTCCGCCAGTGGACCTTTACTCGCTCAGATTGATTTCCAACGTCAGTACCTCGCTATTTTATAGCATTTAAACGAGCATAAAAATAATAATTAAATCAATGGTCGAATGTCTAAAATGCTTTGTACATATTTTCGTTTACATTTATTTTTGTATTCGATATATATGAATGTCATTTTCATTGATCCATGGTTGTATAAATTTTTAAAGTTTACTTTTTACACAATTTAGAAAATAATGCGATAATTATTCAAAGGTATCGTTGCCATTATAATGTTTATTCTATTTTCAGTTAAATTTTATATTAATAAGCAATTTGTTCTTCTTAGAGAATTATAGTCTGTTATCAAATAATTCGATAACTATATAAAAATGCACGTCTATAATGTCAATATGCTTCTATTTAAGAAATTTTGATGGATGTAGAATAAGATTTTAGAATATTATTAAAGTTATTTAGATCTTCTATTTATATCCTTGCAGAATACTATGTTATCGTTGAGAACTCTTTAAAAACACATTCCCAAGCTTGCGTAGATTCTATAGTAGCTGCCACTAAACAAGTTCATATTATGCTACGTCATCCAATCGGTCAACAAGGATTGGCAAAATTATTCAAGTAATAGATTATTAAATTAATTACCACATTTACATCAACCGTATATAATTGAAAGTATATTGTACTTTGTAAATGTTTTAGTTTCTGTGATCCAATCGATTCTGGAAGAACATCACAAAAAGATATTGCTAATTTGTACGAGACCCTTGCTGGCAATTTTGCTGAAGTTGTTCAATACAACAGAGACAATCGCAATGAAAGTTCCATTACTATAGATACATTATGCAATATAATAATTGATGAGAAAAAAGGAATTCCTGTACACAGACTCGCCGAAGTGAGCAATTTATTATTGCGAAATAATAAAGAAAAATGTCTAGACTACAAATACAATAAAATGATTGAGGAATTGAGAAATATATCATGGAATGAACAGAAACTACCTGGAGGTAATATATAAACTTTTATTAAATGTATGCACAAAAGTAATTAAATTTCGTTGTTTGTATGAAAGTTTTATCTTCACTTTTTGATGAAAACCTTCTTCAGGTCGTCAATGGATCTATCAAACATGTACAGAATTTGGATTCTTCCAAACCTCAACAGCTAGACCTTATTTATTCAGTGAAACTTTTCCTGTTGAGTTCTTTATCCAACAATGTTCAGATATTTTTGGCCCCAGGTTCGTACTCAAGCATTTCATCAACCAATAACGCTTAATGAAATTTATATATTTTGCTTTGGTAATTTTACCATATCATACAAAGTACTATAGAATCCATTTATTTCCTATAGTTACGTATTACTATATAATTTATTTGTCTTAATTAATAATCAATGAATTACATAATTTGCATGTTTCATTTAAATGTATCTGTCTGTTTAGATTTTCGCATACACTAGAATCTGGAGTTGAGCGTACAAACACTATATTTGGTGCTCTAGACTTGTCAAATGTAATATCTAATGTTGTATTTGTTCATGGAAGCATTGACCCCTGGCACGCACTTGGCATTACCAAGTCTTCTAATCCGAATGCCCCAGCTATTTACATTAATGGTTAATATAATTTCTTTGACATTGTATATGACACTCTTATATCGAGCTTATATCAAGTACACTCGATTTGCACTCTTTTATATTGCTCGTTTCTTATCGAGTGATATTATGTATTTTAGGCACGGCTCACTGCGCCAACGTTTATCCACCATCTAAAGATGATCTACCTGAATTAACTAAAGCAAGAAAACAAATAGGTCAATTAATTAATCTATGGCTACAGACGACTGTCTATTCGTAATGATTACGAATTATGCCTTGATTGAGACTGATAATAACGTAGAACGTGATATTAGATTTTATGAACTGTCATTTAATAAATAATTCAAAATCTTTCTATAAGAAATTAATAACTTTATGCTAAACTTTTATATATATGAAAAAAAAATAAAAATAAATAAATAAATGAATAATAAATAAAAATGAAAATTTATTACTCTTGTATAAAGAGTATTAAAATGATATTCTGTCTACATTTATTTTATACAACGTGTAACATACCCAAAAGCCATGAGAGCTTTTTTGAAATATAAAAGCTTTAAAGACGAAAATACCATTATCGTGTTTAAAATCCTGTTCTAAATAATAGAAAACTTTCTTCTCTTATGGCTGATAAATAATAAACGTAATGTGTATTGTAGTGATGAATATCAAAGAAATAATCTTATTAATATTAAATAATATATCGTAATTATTTAGTGTTTCAAGACCATCGTATAAAAGTATTTTTAATATTACATTTTCCTCTAGTTAGCGTATACATTTCAACAAACCCTTCGACCAAATTCAATAATACAATGAAATTTAATATCTAAATATTAAAATTGTATTAATTTTCAAGCATTCAATGTACGAGTCGGCCCCGCGGTATATTTCCATAAATAATTTATTTGATTTTCATCATATGTTAAATATTTATTTGGATTTATCTCTGTTCTCAATTCTTAGATGCAAGTAATACACAAGTCATGTATTTACAAAAATTAATTAGCAATGACAAATTATAATTTGATAATAATAACATTCGATTTTGTAAAGTAAGTGGAAGTATAAAAAAACAGCAGAGACGCTATTATAAGTGAGAATATTATCAATTTAAATATTCAAACTAATTGTGAAAATGGCCAAACAAATGAGCGATTTATGCTCGAGCGAAAGCTATTATGCACCGACTAATGTAATATAAGCTTTATTGACACGAAAGTAACGAGAAATTATGTAATCGATAACAATGTGAAATTCTGTTTCGTAGAACGTAACTTTAACAACCCGGTAAAAAGTCTAAGCAGATAATGGTTTTTTGTTTGCACGCTCAATTGTTCCGTGTATTCCCCAGCTTTTCCATTCTCTCTATTTTAATGTCCAACTCAAACTTTGAGTGGGAAAATACTAAACAGAGCCGCTCGCATTCGCTTTATCTACGTTCTATTATGTCATTTGTGTGTTTCATCAATATATGGCTTAAAGCTCGTAAAAGCCTTAGCAATTTACATTAACGTGTTACCTACATTATCCTATGGGATATTTGCTTGGTCAAATGACAAAGAGAGCGCTTAACGGATACGAATTTGGTTTTTTTTTTTTTTTTATTTCCACTTGCGTGGCTAACCAAAGTTGACATGTCAACTACTCAGCTGCACAATTTTCCTGTTGTTGACCTTTTCCCGTGTGGTTAGCCTACATAATAATACTCTGTCTTTGGAATTGTAATGCTCGTCTTTAGATTGCTGGTTGCTAGTTGTTAGTTGCTGCTTGTTGGTTGCTAGTTACGGGAGAGTCTAGTACTCCTGGAGTTGTGAAGAACGTTTTATTCGAATTGAAAATTCTGTAAAGCGTAACCTAAATTTTTTGTTAAATATGCTAGAATCCGGTAATGAAAAGAAGTTAAAAGAAAGAAAAAAAGAAGTATGTTGTTTGGTGCTGTAATTAAGGCCCTTAAAATATTATGAAGAGAGGTTTAGGTAATTTTCAGTAATTTTATGTTTCTAAATTGCCTTAAATTATTATAGTTCTCTCGCAGTTTCTATTTCGAATTAATTTATACGCAAAAATTTATTTAATGCATAATTTAATCAAATTCAATAATAAAACAATTGACATATTTTTTGTTTTAAAAGAACTTACCGATTTATTTGTTGCTTCACTACTCTTTGCTCTTTCTGCTTAAGACTGCATTGTTTTATTTGACAAGTAAACCCGCAATTTACCTCTTTAATTTTCAATACGTTTACGGAATACCAAATAAGCGTACAACGATATTCACAAATATATTATATATAGGAAAACGCTAAAAGGTATTAACATAATATTTCATTATACACACACACACGTATATATATATATATATATATATATATATATATATATATATATATATATATTGTATATGTCTTGGTTTATTTTCTAAAATATTTATAATTTATACATATAATACCTATACCTTACATCTCATAGAGTAAGTACATATGTATTCGGAGCAAAATTTAAATTGCTCGTTGACCATGACGTAATTGATAGAAATAAACTGCCGTAAATGGCACTACCATATACAATTTGCAAAGAATTTATTTATACAAACAAAAGTGTAAATGTAAGATTCTATTGAGTACAAGTCGCACAATTTTTGTTTCCCTAATATTACTACGGCGAGCGCATTTAAGTTGATGACACGACAATCGACGATAACCCAAATCAAGTGATCAATGTGTAAGATAAATTATAGCAATTATATATAAATGATGATATATAAATCGTCGTTAAGAACGTATGAATGAAGTTATTGAAAATATGCTTTTATCAATTTGTTTTTCATAAATTACGTAATTCCAATTCTGCAATGGAAATCGTCGACCTCTCCTTCATACACACATATATATTATATATAGCACTTAACGTTCGATGAATAATTTTTTTGTTTGCTTTTGTTTTTTTATTACAGTATAAGGGGAGGCCAAAGTGCCCATATCAGTATTATTGTATAGTTTTTTTTTTTTTTTTTTTTTTTTTTTTTTTTTTTATAAAAATATTGTTTTATTGTTTTATAATTCTTACGATTCTTCAAGTTCAATTTTACAATGTTTGTAATTGGTATTAAATATTTTAATTTCATAAATCTTACGTAAAACTTATAAATCTAACATTTTAAACAAAAATTTGAATTAATATACAGTATAGGACGCAGTATTAGTAGAAACTTAAGAATTTTATTATAAGAATCGCTTGCAAGATTGATGCAACAAATATAACAATAAAACATCCTGATGTTATTCATGAAAACTTTAATAAAAAAATTTACCAATGTACTCGTTAAATCATTTTTTGCAATTGCTTGAAAATTTTTCTATATTTCTGGTATTGTAAAATATTATTATCTACTATTTTACGCCGAATATCAATAAACCAAAAATATTGAATTTTAATTTTTCTGTCCTATATTGTGTTTTTTTAAAAAAAACTATAGGCATACTTTACAATATTATTTAGTTTTAGTGGGCATATTGGTTGGCAAACTTTATGATAACGACAAATATGTATACATTGTCGTTACTGATTATATGTATGTATATATAATCAGTGCCAAAACTAATCATTTCTTAGAATATACCGCGTTATGAAAAAAAGAAAAAAATGAAAACAAAAAGAAATGCGCGTATATGCAGACAAGAAAATCTATAAGATTAAATATGAATCCTTTTTGTCTCATTCTCCGCTTTTCTAAAGTAATACAACATTTAAATCATGCTCTTATATGTACATAATGTACTCTAATGATATCCATATACTATATTTTGTATGAGTGTTTGTGTGTTTGTGTGTGTGTGTGTGTGTGTGTGTGTGTGCGCGCGCGCGCGCATATATATATATATATATATATATTGTATGCATCGTTCATGTTTTTATGTATGCGTGTATGCATTTTTATATTAATAGGTATGATAAATTCTCATATATTAATTACTCTCTGTGCTTTTTGGCATGTCGATCGACCAGTTGCGTACAGCGTGTAAGTACACACACATGAGTACAACAAGAAAAAGGTAAAAGTAAAATTGTCCTAGGTGATACGCATTTGATTCTTAAAAAATCTATAGGGAGTTCGAGTATTTACACGTGGAGATTTATGTATATGCATGTATCCGGCGATTAATTATATTATAAATTCAACAAGGTAGAGAAATGCTTAGTTTAAAGTCACGGCGTATGTTGTATATACGACGCCACGACGTGTAAATGCCAAATAACCAATGCCGATTACTGCATTTAATTTTATTAATGGAAGAACTTTAAAAAGTATAGCGTATCAGTGCTCCGAGTGTAAGAGAGATTTCATTCCGAATTAACTTTATTTCGTAACGCAAGTGCACATAATGAAAAAAAAAAAAAATCGCTTCCGAGCGCACCCTTTGAAGACAATTTTTTACATTTTCTTATAAGATAAATATACCAATTACTGCACAGAATTAATTATCAAAATAAATTAATAAATTTTATTAGGGCAAATATTTTTTTTTACTTTTATAAAATTTATTTTAACAGATATATTACTATTGTAAACAATTCTCAAAAATGATGATAAAATTGATTTCTTCGAACTTTCAAACTTTTTCCTCGACATTATTAATTAGTAGCTATATCATGCAAATTAAATATTAAACAGCGGATGGGCATTTATCTTAAAGAGTATTTATTAATGCATGCAAATATTGTTTTCGTTTTTATTACTATTATTCCTATAATATATATATATATATATATATATATATCTTTTTTTTTATTTATTTTCTTTTTTTTTTGGTTTTACGTGATTATCTCGCCGAAAGTGAAAATACGCAAAAGACGAATGTATGTAACTACGTTGAGAAAATAAAACAGATTCCACAGAGCTCTAGTCATTTGCCCGTGGAAATAACAACATTATTTGCATGAATTATGATGTCTACACAATATCAATATGCTGTATGAAATATCGACATTCGTCGAATATATAACTGACCAACACGAAAGGCTTAGTCCACGTACATTCGTCGTGAAAGTCTGAATTACCCTTCAAGAAAATTAAAAGAAAAACATTGACAGATCGATGAAAATAGTCCATAATAAGCAATCTCCAAGCAATAAACCCCTATTTAAAAGCGAAAACTTTCCCGCAGCTCCCACAACGATTAATCGGGCTCATTATTTCGGAAAAGCAGTCGAGCCGGGAGTGTAGGAGGATCGGGAAGCGAGATGAAGGTGGCGGCGAATGTCGATAAGTCAAGTAGCTGTTGGCGTTTTTAATAATCGAATTCAGTATCTGTGATGTGACTGGGACTGCTGGTAAGTCGGATGGTGGTGGTGGTGATGGTGATGGTGTCTCTTCTTATCGGGGCCGGTGCCGTTGCTCTTGGCGGCGTAGGCGGCGACGTCGCTGACAACGAGCTCGGAGCCGTCGCGCTCGACGCTGCCGTTGACAGTTCCACTCCTGTAATTGTCCCGGTAGGAAGGCTCGTCGAGGGTCTCTTTGCGCCTCAGGGCCGCGTGATTGGTCCCGCCGATTTTCTGGCCAGTCGCCGACTCGTGGAGGTTGTCCCAGGCCTGCCGGTAGTAGCGGTTCAAGCCACCTCGACTCCCGGACGAGCCGCTATCGAAGCTCGCCACGGTGTTACAGTCGGGTGAGGCGCGGTGCCTGTAGTGCTTACCACCCCG